TCTTCTGATATTCTCACCAGAACAAGAGCATCCTCTAGGTTCAGCATCTACTTGGACAGAGATGCTGACTTACAGATGACACAGTCATGTAAATCCTGGAGCCTGTGCAGTCCCTGGCTGTGATGACAAATGTCTGGCACGGATTGCAGCGGCTATCACTTTGACTTGCTGCAAGGTTACAATGTTGCAGTTTGTGTACTGGGGCCAGCAGCAGACTTTATAACAGTATCTCGGCCAACGAAAAGTAACTGGACACAAAAATGAAAAGTTGTAGTGCTACTCTATATTTTGAAATATTACAAAACATCTTGATGTAAAATAATAAAAGTTACTGATAAGTTCACTTTAACAGCCTATGCATTGCAAAGAATGGATTTAGCACTTTTGTATTGTTTGAGTACAAAAAGGCCTCAGCTTGAATTCATTTTTAAAGTACATTAGGGCATTATACTCTTACATAGTATTTGAGGTTGAATAAAGACATATGTCCATCAAGTCCAACCTATTGTGTGTGTGTGTGTGTAAAGATCCCCGTGTCATCTCGTTTTTAGGAGTACTTGTACCCCTGTATATTACCGTTTCTCAGGAAATCGTCCAAAAGATTCTTGAACGATTCCACACTATTAGTAGAAATCACTGCTTGTGGCAACGAGTTCCAGACCCTACTCTGTAAAGTATACTCTGTATACTTTAAGTGTATCCAAATGTTTAGCTTGCCTCTTAAAAAGGAACTGTAAAAGCATCCTGGTGCAGTCTCAGAGTGAGGAGTTTTCATTACACTCTGCTATGGATTGTTCCATTTCAAGAGCAGCAAGCGTAGAGAGAACACTGCAGATACTCGAACTGGCTGAGCACTGTCATTACCATAAGGGTGGCAGAGTGACTGTGGGAAACAGAAGAGCGTAGGTAAGACAGATTAGTGTTTAACTTTGTAGTGAAACATAAATGCTTCATTTTGGAGAGCGGAAAAGTGCACAGCTCATTGGGAATTACAGTCGTCATAAGAAACGCACGCAGGTGTTCCGAAACGGCGAGATAAATGAGCCACTCATCACCTGAACAATGCTGAAAATGAATGGCAAGACAGCAGCTATTTTTCTTCAGTTTCCTCGAAACAAATTGCCTTATGCATTGGCAATTAAGTGAAAAGCAAAACGTGGCAAGAAGCAGTTGAGATAGATTTATTAATACAGAGAATCCGACACAATAAATTAGCGATCATATTTGTTTCATACGTAAACAGCACACAGCTATTTTTAAATCATCTATGCAGACTTGCTCTCATCTGTCACTTTTACTCATCTGTTATTTGTTGTAGCTATGAGTTTGTGGTTTACCAAGTGTAATGATATTAAATCTATTTTTACTCTTGGTAAACCCGGCTTATGAACAGCTTCTAAATGTGCTGTAGCCCAAAACGTATCTCCTGGTAAGGGGTAAATCAAGTTGTAAATTGCTACTGCTATTGAGCAAAACTGCCAATATGTTGAAGTCAAAAAGACCACTTAGTAGTTTAAAGCAGATGCGTTGGTGCCTTGGTCTGTTAAAAGAAAAATAAGAGACTAATGTGGAGTATACAAGCATGATTTTTTTTTTTTTTCTTTCAAATAGATTCCTCCAACAATGCTTATGAGCTTATTGGCTGCTAGCTCCGTTAGGCCAAGAATTTAAGTTACACATAAAAAAGAATTAAAAAACAAAACAAAAAATGTTTTAAAGTCCCCACCCATACATACACGCATGCAAACATGCGTTGGGGGCGCATACGTGCAAAAAAGACGATTGCGCCCATTACGCCACACATGTTACATATCGCCGCGAACGTCGGAGTGAGAGCAATAATTCTAGGGCCATCAATCACTGATAACACTAAACTGATGAGCGGTAAAAGCTTTTAAAGGGTCGCTTATGGCCAATTTTGGGTATGGTAGTTTTGTGCGATTTTTGCAGGGTCTGGCCATAGGGAAGCAGCAGCAGGTGGCCGTGTACACATGCCAACAATGTAGGTCAATTGCACAGACATTGAGCATTGACATGACTGTGTCATCTCTGGGCCTTCATCAAAGTCCTGAAAGCTGAGCAAAGATGGTTGCTTCTTCCGGGGACAAAGGAAGGTAAAGGCATTGGCAGGGGTAATACTGTGATCTTTTTGAGGAATACATTTCCTGCAGTTGCTTAATTTACACATTACTTGCAATGCCTTGAGATTTCCAGGCTATACTGATTCAGTTTAGATTTTAAAATAGTTACTCTTGTCTTGTCTTTTGTTTTTTTACTGTTTCTATGGAATACTTTTGAACTGATTAAATGGGTTTTCAACCTAATCATAGATGACACTTACAGACATTTGTATCTGCCAGGATAGATTGTATAATTACCCTGTCTAGTGATTATTTCATGTTTGGTGCAGTATTCTATATTTGTATAGAATGTAATTGAATCATACTGGTCACGTCATGCTGGAAGTGTAGCTATTGTTTTTCGGATAATGCATGCATGGATTTCAGAATAATCCTATGATTTCAGGTATGTTGTCCCTATAGTCTATAATGAACTTAATCTTGTTTACACTCCCTACTCCCCCATCTTTTGCCCTATTCTCTGGTTTCTCTTTAGCCTTTGATGCCAGAGTAAAGCCGTTGAGGGCAGGTTATGTGGGTGCTTCAATGTTAAACAGAGTCTGCTAATAACTGGCTCTGTTCGAACAATGATCCTAGCCTTTGGCTGTGCCCTCATGTGCCCCTGATGGATATATTGGAGCCCAGTGATGCTGTAAGTATTTAACAGTTTCAAATATTAATGTATTTAGGGCAGCAGGTTGGGTATGAATTAGCTGTATTAGTTGAGTGGTAATTAGAAATGGGGGTGTCTTTTGAAATAAACTGTTCACTATTCCATGCACCCTTATAAGCACCTCCTATGCATTCAGAAGCATGATTGCTTCATTGTTATCAATGTGCCTAAGCCAAAATATCCTTAGCGTGATCTGGTCTATCTATAATGGGCCCCAAATAATTTGCAAGGCGAAGGGAGGGCCTCCATGCTCATTGTCCTATGTGCCTTCTTCTGTACCCCTTTGGTAGCATGATGGGTCCTTATGTCCATTTAAGCCTGTGTTAAACATGATAAGTATACCCACTCTTGCTGCTATATATATAAAGATACAGTGTATCCAAAATTGTCTAAAACCGATGCACTAGGAGTGTTGGGACAAAGGGGAGGAATATCCCTGATATATGAGGCACAATTAGGACCATTCATCAAAATTGATTATATGGTTGCTTGGGAGGTGGAAATGGGTACACCACTCCCCCTAGAAGATTGGCAACGATGCTCTAAAAGATCAACTAAGGGATTACTAAATATTTCGTAGAAGCTAACGACAAGGTTTTCTCTCGATGGTACCTTGTACCAGCAAAATTGGCGAATATGGCCCTATGCACCTCTTTGTTATGTTTCAGGAGATGTAACCAGAAAGGCACTATGCTACATGTCTGGTGGCTGTGTCCAAGGTTACGACCCTTTTGGAATAGATTGTTTGCCCTGCTCTCAAGGATTCTCGGGATCCATATCCCCAGAGACCCACATTGTGTATTACTAAATAAACCAATCCCGGATATCTCTAGATCGCATGGCAAACTCACATTCTTTTTCTTCCTGGTGGCTAAGATTTCAATAGCTCGGTCCTGGAAAGCTGAAAAGGTCCCATTCTCTCTAGTGCTATCTAAAGTGAATTGGATCATGGTTCATGAGAAACTATATAGCATTCTGCAGGACAGCTATGCAGAATTTTAAACAGTATGGGAGCCTTGGATGAAATATCAAGAGATTTCAAACGCACATAGCATTATTTCCGAAGCCCTAGTTTAAACATATAAAGTTTGCCAATCAGAAACAGGGAACTACAATTTACGCCTTAATTTTTTTTTTCTCCCCTCTTTTTTTTCCCCTTGTTTTCCTTCGTTTTTTTTGTTTTTGTTTTTTATGTTTTATATTTTTATTTTTAATTTTTTTTTCTCCCCTCTTTTTTTTTCCCCTTGTTTTCCTTCGTTTTTTTTGTTTTTGTTTTTTATGTTTTATATTTTTATTTTTAATTTTTTTTCCATAAAAAAAAGTTTTTCCATAAGTTGCCATATAGCGAAAGTAGCTATATCTAGTTTGTGAGGCCCTGCACCCTCAAAATTACAACTGAGCGAAAAGAAGCCCCTGGACGCAATTGTAGGCAGGAGCCAAGTTGAAGATGAAGGCTAATCCCTCAACTAGTTTTCCCTTAATTCTTTCCTGGTGATAGCTTTGAGGGTCCACTGAAGGGTGGGAGAATGCGGGGAATTAAGGTTGTTTTGAAAATGTTGAATTTACTGCCTTTTTTTCTTCTTCTTTATTGAAAAATTTGTTACAAATCTGTTTTATAATTTGTTATAACTTATGGAAAACCAATAAAAACGTTGAAATCTAAAATCTAAAACCGATGCATTCCACTATACTGTATGTTAAAATCAATTTCTTTCTTACATTGAATGCTTTAGAGAGTTTTCCTACCTTACGAGGGAAATATTGCATTGCCAACAATATTTTTTATTACAACATTATATATACAAATATGTGGCTCTAAAGTAGTATTGTGCAGTAAAACTATGTTAATTAGAATTGGGTAGTCTGCTCTTTCAGAGCATTTTGACCGAGTGCTCCTCTGTTTCTTTACAGCGAAATAAAAACGTAACTCGAAGCAGTCTTTTGCTTTTTGTTAATTAAGAAGATAATAACAGCGCCGCTTGAAAAAATGAGCTTTCCGTTTGTTCCATAAACCTTTGGCTGTTAATATCCCTGAACCCTCTCGGAGCTTATATGGTATTTGACAAATTAAAGGTGCACAAAGGCATGCCGTAAGGGAGGAAACTGCTTACTTTTCTGACTGCAAATCCTCTAAACTGCTAAGCATTCTGGGTTTTAATATACTTTGCCTCATTAGATTTTTAATGTGTCTCTGATCTGTTTTGCAGAAATTCCAGAAAAGAACTCAATGATATACGTTTTGAGTTTACTCCAGGCAGGGGTAAGTTTTAATTAAAACTATTTTCTCTTATCATATATACTTTCTGACCTTTAACTGCACCTAGGAGATACTTTGGGTTTTCTTGAGATTACTTATTTTGGTTTTTAAAGGCTGTGTACCTCCAGACTTTCAAATAGGAAATCCAGACAAAATAAATTAGGTTAGAAAAATGTCTTACATGTGGCTCCTTTTTTATTTTGGGATGTACTATTTGGAAGAAAAACTGTTCTGTAATTATATGGGACTGTAGCACAAAGTGAAATGTTTGTACAAAGCTGACTTGCAAAAAGAAAACCTGTGTTTAGGCACTGCTGCAGCTCAGATAAGGAAACAATATGTGACATATGTATTGTTTGACTAGAGTTCTCTTGTAAAGAATACCTGCCTTGAGAAGGGTTGACATTGCTGACTGCAGATCACCTGTCATAGCAATGGCAGCTATGACTGTCCTAAAGCATATGGCAGGAGGACCATGGCTGCTAAAGGCCACTTAGCAGCGGGTAGGTTTATTACTATCAGTTGGTTGTTAGCCTAAGTTAGCTTACAACTACCAAGAGAAATAAATAAGTGTGGAACACTATGGATAGTAAAGAGACCAGTAATCTGAAGGCAGCATCTGAAGAAAAGGTACTGTATCTTTCCTCTAAAGAATATGCAAGGGCAAGATTAGATTGAGTGAGGAAGGGTTAGTCCCTCTATCAAGTTTTTATTGCTGTTAGTACTCTGTTTAGTGAGGTTCATCCTCTTTATATGTACTAGTGACCATTGTCATCAAGACAGAAAGTAATGGGGAATCCAAAATTAGAGATGTCCCCAGAACAGGAATAGAGAGGAAATGTTACAATGGTGCCTATGGCAACTGTCTGGGGGTAGAGGGGGGCGGATTCCCTGCACTTTGGAAGCTTTCCTCCAACATCCTGTTATGTCTTCGGGACAGGAAGTGAAGGAAAATCTACACAGTGGTACACAGAGAACAATAACCTGACTGGTGTGACAATTTCACGCCTCACCCTGTGCAGAGATTTTCCAACTCTAACATTTACTATTTATAGCATCTGCTGTGGCCATTCTGACCTTTTAAAGAAAATGTCGGTATCATTTGCTGCCATGCCCAGACAGGAATGTAACAGAGTTTACACTATGGTAGCTCCTTCACAGAGGTAAAATTATTTAATTAAAGCAATCAAAGATATAGGTTAATGATTTTAAAATAAGGTTTTAATGAAAAAAAGGTACACACATTATTTACAGAAAAGATATTATAACATGACATAAGTAAAAGTAAAATAAGTGAAGTCTGCCTGGTCTTTGGTGCAATGTAAAGTTTGAAAAGCTTTCAGACTAAATCCAATCCCATATAGCAGGTCACTGGTCCTAAAAAACGAGACTCTCAATATCCTTGGTAGTTTCCATTGTAAACAAGAGCAGCTACTGCCAAATGCAACATCTTTATCTTGCCCCTGGGGAGGGTGTAGCAGAACTAACTCTACCCAATCAAATGGTTTGAGGGGTGTGCTGTAGATGTGCCGAAGAGTATTTTAACATCCTCAGCTGACGCACCCTAATGCCAACTATACTGAATAGATCTATATTTCCAACGGACAAGGTTTCACAATCTGACTAACCAGCATGTTATTTAGCAGAATGAAATACAAATTTACTAGATTAGCTTTCTAGACCTTGTAGTATGAGTGTGTATGGTGTCTAACGGATTGGTATGTCCCTATACATTTGTAACCTCCTTTTATGAAGGTCACTCCATTACAGCATGATTTAAGGAATATAAATACATTCTGGCTCTAGGAGTTCAGTTTTAAGTAAGAAAAAAACACTCACAGATGTGAATGCTCTCTAGACTGTTTTGACAAGGCCTTATCAGTGGTCTTCTAAAGACCGTAGCTTGTGGAGGTTTACGATGCCTCTGCATTTCTTCTAATTTTATATGCTGTTCATCAGATGTGTCTTAAAATGGCTTAAGCATGAATGACCTTTGGAAAAAATGAGGCTGGCAGTGTGCTCAGTACCACTTCCCTATTTTCTCAACACAGTCTGGGTTTTGTCAGGCCTCACTATTGCCACAATGTGTTTTCACTCTTCTCAATCCTAACCCTTCAATCTATTCTAGATAAAGCAACTTAGCATGTAAGATATACAGTATATCACATTCAATTTTAAACCACTATAAATCTGAGTAGTTTAATATGAACCTCAACCACCAAAAGCAGTAAGTACTGGTGGAGGTGAAGATCTTGTAATCACTACAAGTTTGTTCTGCATGGCTGGGTTTTGAACTTTGCAAACAGCTGTAGTTGTATTTTGCCTTTGTAGCAAGTGCTGTATGGAGGTTATAAACGTACAATTACCTCAATAAACAATTAAGGAATTAATTTCTCTCTTTGTAACAAATATAAGCCCCAGCAAGTTTACTGACATTCAAAGTCAAACATTGGCTTTGTTTTGTTATCAAACATTTCTACTATCATATAAATCATTACATTCCTTCCCCATTGTACACTGATTGGCCTTACAGATTTATTGCCTAAATGAAACAGTCACAGTGGTTCCCAAGCTTTTATTTAAAAGTTTATTGTGAAAGAAAGTTAATGGATTTGGCACTCAGTGATGCAATATATCACAGAGAAGTGTCTATTTCTCTGCAGTCTTGATATCACTTTGTAGGTGTAACTTCACAACTTCACAGTTCTTTTGCGCTGCCCAGTTTTGAGGCTGCCCGGGCTAAAACAAAACAAAAGTCATCCATTTTGTTTTTTTATATTGACAGTAAGCAATATTGTATATGTGACATGTATTCTGGGTTTATAATCCTAATTGTATGGATGATTTGAATCAGTACCAGGTCAGAATATGCTGTTTTTGCAATTCTAACGTGTGCTTAAAATGCTGATCTGTCTATTGACATTCATGAGCATGGGTAACTAGAATAATGTTGCTTGCAGTATAAATGCAAAAAGCAGAACAGCCTATAAGCATTCGGCAATTGGGCTCTATTTCTGCACTAACATTGGAAATGGTACTAATACACAAATAATAAAAGGACCCCTTATCTAGATAACAACAATGCTGAAGTACCTATGCTACTTTTTATATCTGTTCCTCCTTGATTCCTAGACTCGAGCTGTGCAGGTGGCCTTCTGTACAAGTGGAGGATAATCCCTACCTCCCCCCTCACTTGACAGCCAAATGCTCTTTTGCGCCCTAAAAGTCTTATAATTGATAGTTGAATGCCAGTGTTGGAGCTTCGTAGATGAGGACTGGGGCTTTACATTGCCTTGGACAGAAGTTGAGGTCCCATGTACTGCAGCATTCTGGCTGTAATTGATGGCTTGTCTTCACCATTTCTCTGCTTTGCAATAAAGAAGATGGCACCCAGGGGAGGAATAACAGCATCTCTCGGGTCAGACTTAAGCAGTTAAGCAGTTACTATTCACAGATTATGCGCTGGGGATTTATTTTATTATAGGCTGAATAGTTCATATTTGGCAGCAGTTTCTGTAAATACTGTCAAAAGGAAAAGAGTTTCTTTAAAAAATCATGTCAGAATTATTTCTACAATGCAGAAAATCTGATAATATGATTTTGTTTATTACTAAAAATCAGGTTCCGTTCCACTGTCTATTCAGTTCCACTACACTTAATTTTTCGTCTTCCCTGGGACAGATTTTACTCTATTCACAAGTTTTTTCTTTGGAGATTTGACTCTGCATGGTTTATTTACAAACAGATGCCAGCCGGGGATGTGTCATTTTGTAGGGATCGGGCAAGATTGTAAGGCGGTGGGTTGTCATGGCAGCGGGGCAGCTTAGCTGAACAAAGTGCTTGCTACTAGATTTACATCATAGATTGTTTAAATTTTTGTAAAATAAACAACCTGCTGCCCGACTATGTTTCCAAGCCGCCATGATGACCCACCACATGACAGTGTTGACTTGTCACTACTGCTACAAACTGACAGATCCCTGACCAGCTGCTGTATGTTAATAAACTGCCCGGGGATCCTGGGTGTCACTCAGAATCCCTGGCCTGTCTGGTTACGCAGAGAAGCTGGCTGAAGATATGTCTTTTAGTGGCAGTAGCACAAATCTAATTTTAATAAACAGCCTTCTTTACCTTCTTGATATGCTCACATTCATAGTGCCTACTGGGGACAGTAGACAGTAAAGGAAATGTTACTTCATGATAAAGCTTTCCTTTAAAATAGCAAAATCTGGGACCTTTATCTGAGAAGTTGACTCCTAAGCGTCCCTATGATGGTGTCCTCTTCCGGCCCCATGAGAGGTCATGGGGTGGAGGGCAGCAAGCATCAACATCCTAGAAAGAGGCGCTATTTGCATAATGGAGTGCCTCAGGTTTCAGAGATTCCAAGGTGCTGTAGAAGAAAAGGAATGGATGTGAGGACTCTTGGAGGTTCCTGCTGTAACATTTTAGTGGTGGATTTTTTTAAATTAATATGATCCCAGGTGCTTTTTATACAACAAATTGTATGCAGACGCTCTGATTTATCTAAGTTGCAGGATAACATTTTCAGATCAGCTTATAATGTTTATTTTTCTTCTAACCTACGTTTTATGTGATGCCCTTAAGACATGAATGTGAACACAGCTGCAAGCCAGTAGCGCTGAGCTATCTATATGGTTAATGTTAGGTGGAAACGAGGAGTTTAAGCAGCTGTCAGGCAAAAAGCTTCAATTTGTGCAAATAATGTTTGGATGCTTTTTTTCTGCATCATAAGAAGCAGCATCTGTCCCAGACCTGTATGGGCTTTCTCTATGGAACAATGTGTCACATAATAGTGCATATTTTGGAAACAAATTCTCTGTTTCATATAATAGGCAAGGTATTTAGGGAAGAGAAGGACGAGGTAGTGTAGCCTTTTGCAGTTCATGTAAATTTTGCAAAACAGTTTTCTTTTTACGTAAACTATAAGGATGAGTTGATCTGAATTGATCAATGCAGGGTTAATGCAAGGGCACAATTGTTTTCTATGTGCCCTTTTCACACCATACAAGTGTGTTTATGTGTGTTGCATAAAAATGCGGCATGTCTGCATTTTTTACACAGGGCAACACACAACAATGGGTCACAATGCACCACAGCGCAACACCATATACTGTTGTACATGGAGTTGAATGAAGGATTATTTTTTGACACTTTAATAAAGTAAGAGGAATTGAGGAAAAAAGTGAACAGTGCAGTTATTTGTAACAAGGCATCATACAGCCCATAAACAATACACACCAGTGTAATGTGTTTAGGCTATTGTGACGGGGCCCTATGCTTCAATGGTGACTGTAAACGGTAATATATTATGGATAAGATATATTGTTTGTTGATTTGAATCAAGCCACTGAACTCTGGGCTGTTAAAAAAAATCCTTTGCATTGGGAAAGGGGTTCAAGTGCAAGTTGGTCATGCTGGTAATTGGGGGGTTGTTGCTGGCAAAATGGTGAGAGTAGGGGAGGGAGTGGGGATGGGGGTCAGATACAGTAGTTAGAGGAGGGAGTGGGAATGGGGGTCAGTATATGGTGGTTAGAGGAGAGAGTGGGAATGGGGGTCAGGCATGGTGGTTAGATGAGGGGTAGGGTTCAGGTGTAGTAGTTTGAGTAGGGGGTGGGGATGGGAGTCCGGCACCATGGTTAGGGGAGGGGGTAGGGGTCAGGTATGTTGGATAGAGGAGGGGGTGAGAAAGGAGGTCAGGCACAGTGGTTACGAGGTAAAGGACAGGCATGGTGGTGAAAGCAGAGTGGGGAGCAGTCATATGGGTGCAGATAGGGTGGGGGTTAGTGGTCTGATACAAGTGAAAATAGTGGTGGGAGAATGATGCCATGTTACTTAGAGCGGGGTCATGCAAACACTGTTGTCACAGCGGGGTCATGCAAACACTGGATGCAAGCAGTGGTATGGTGCCTACACTTTTACACATGCAAACTGTTACCTACACAAACCTCTACTACTGTATTCCTTGTAGACTCCTGTAGTCTATGGGAGCTGATATTATCAAGTTATCTTTTTTTTTTAAAAAGCCAATCCTGAGGCTAGGGAGACATGGGCCTGGGAGAATTCCCAATACCTAACACACATCTACTTGGTATAGGCCAATGACTCACCACAAATGGTGAAGATGGGATAAAGATGAAAGCCATTATGTTTTCACCTTGAAAAACAAGTCATCAGTGACAACTTACATGTTTCTACACCAATAGGTTATGTTTAATTGTAAGGTAATCCTAGATTCAATCTATGCGTTGCTTGTTTACATCCTTCAACTGCTGGAGATTGACAGCTAATAGTTTGTGTATACACAGATATCAAAAATTGCAGTTTGACAATAATAGCTTTTGCTACATTCATTGAATGATACATGTAGAAAAGAGTGCAGTTATTTCCTTGGTACTAGCTTATTTATATCATTATACAAATCACATAATAGCTGAGATTATTGCTGATGGTTGTGTTCTGCATGTGGCAGCAATCTATTCCACCACGCCGATTTGTTTTTCTGCACCTGCATCATAAACTACACAGGGGGAATTAACCTTTCTTCCCATACATAGTTTTATAGTTCAACACAAATGCCATGCCATACTAAAGTGAATCATTTCACTTACAGCCTTTGTCCTGAAGGTGTCATTTATATATTATTTTTTTTTCTGTTTCCAAAGATACAGCAGATGGTGTTTCGCAGGAGCTCTTCTCGGCGGGCCTCGTGGACGGTCATGATGTAGTTATAGGTAAATGACATTTCTTTCTTGGAACTGTTACATGATTACTTTAGCATTTCAATGAAATAATTGCATTTAACCTTCTTTGGGTCTCTGAGGATTCCACTGGCAGCTAGAGCATCCGGAGACTATTGCAGGCGTTGAGCACAACACAGAACGAGTGACTCTGAACAATGAAAAATATATCTGCAATTATATTGCAATTACTGGTTGCTATACAGGTGATCTAATTAATCTGTTTTAAAGGATTTTATCCTTTTTTTTTTTACATTTCTCTATTAAGTATTTCCTTTTCACATTAAACATTTAAAGTGAAAATCTGAACAGAGGTCAAAGAAATGTAGAAGATAAATACACATCTCTATCTTTATATGGCCATCACCACCACTCCCCCCAGCTCTATGCCCTCCATGACATTAAAAGCATGAAGGATTGTCTGCTGTACTGAAGTATAAACCAGCGTAGTAACCTCAGATCAAAGAAGGAAGCGTTTTGTCATCCTTAAGCCATCATTTGCTTGTCATCATTTAGTCATTAAGCCATCATTTGCTTTCTCAAATTTAGATGGACTATTGCTTCTAAGGTATGTAAGCTTATAAAGAGGAAAGGCTCAATTGATCAAAGTAATCCAAACTAATTTCTTAGGAATGACAGGCAGATTCCATCGAAGCAGTTTTTTTTCTTTTTGCATAATAAAGGGGTAGCTTAAGAAGAAGCTTATATAAGTTTGTAGGTGGGCTATCGCCAAGTATGCCAAGGAGTGGTAATTTGGCTTCAAATTCTAATGGGGTCTGAAGGGTTCTACAAAGTAGGGATTTACCAATATGTATAGAGTTATTCAGTTTCAAAACTTATGTATAGCATTTGAATAGCAACAAGGGCAGTTGTTGGCTCTGTCTAGCTACTCTGGAGTGAAGTATACTCTTTGGATGAATTTTATGTTGTAGTTTGATTCTAGCTGTGGGAGTTCTGTGGAAAATAGTAGCAATGCTATCTATCCCAGTTCTCCTAACACTGTTTTGGTATGGTAAGGTATAGCTTTTGACATTAGTCGTGCAGAAGACAAAGTTCGATTGAGGAGAGTAAATTATGAGCAAAGTTTTCAGCGTTTACTATATTGTACCTTAAGTTTGGTATCTGAAAACTGAAGGCTCTTTGCTTGGCCGAGCTGGGGATATCTGAAAAAATGGTTATTATGTTTTCTCCAAAGCTTCATATTGCCAAAAGTCACTAGGGTACCGGCAAAGGTGAAAGGTTCAGTGGTTTGATTCCTATCCTATATGGGGCCCAAATCTGTGGGCCTAGGATAGTATCAGAATGTGATAACGTGGGGTTTTCCATATGGGGTAAACAAAAGACCTTTGCTTGGATTTAATTGTGTGTATCCTGGTCATATCTCAGGCCCTCAATTTAGTCTATATCAGTGGGGTCACAGATAGGATAAAATATGGGCTAGATTACTAAGGGAAGTGTAAAAATCTTAACAACTGCTTCCAGATAGCCTGCAGAGGTATATGGGTCCTGTGTGAACCACCATTTAGATGAAATTTAGTAATACCATGCTACTTTTGTTTTGCACTATGTAGTTGAATTGTGGACTTGAATTGCATGGGGACCTTGATAGACCAAACATATAAGTGACATAATAGGTATACAAACTTGTACAGTAAAATCCTTTTACTGCATACTGTTGACATCCCCTTCCAGTCACTACAAACTTCAAAAGGTGAGGCCTTACACTGCTTCTTTTGTCATTATATAAAACTTAATTGAACAAATGGCAGATACACTTCAACCTGCTCCTCTGCTTTGTTGCCTCACTCACTACTGGGGCTTAGTAATGGAGATTTATAGCTCCTAGTTTAAATGAAACCTAGTGTTAAAGTAGTACTTAAGTCTGGGTGTTTTTAAAACACCAAGAACTTTTCCAAACCCCCCCCTCTCCCCTTACTTACCTGCAGCCGCTTGTACCCTCTACTGCGACCGGGAAGATACTTGGAGTTCCCCCAACTTCATGGTTGTGGGGGGAGGAAATTGAGGGCAGAGGAGCCATAGGCTCCTTTAGCCATCAGTCAAACTGTGAATGTGAGGGTGGGGGCATGGATGTCCATGTGTGTCTATGGACATATACAGCTAGATGTGAGCACGGCCCTGACCGTGCACGCACGGGTGCCTCCACAGCAGCCGGCTAGCTGATGAAGGGGAGGTGGGCCTGGTGATTTGGATACCACTGGAGTATGAGAAAATTAAAAAAATGTAAGCAATGAAAACAAAAAAATAAAGTAAGTCTGGCTGCACTAAGTAGAAATAGTTAAAAAAAGTCACTTTAATTACTTTTTGTTGGCTTCACTGCAACAATTTGCTCCTGTCAAGTTCTCTGGTTAAAGAATGGTAGGACAGGTAGTAGTCTGGAAGTGGACTTGAATTGCATGGGGACCTTGATAGACCAAACATATAAGTGACATAATAGGTATACAAACTTGTACAGTAAAATCCTTTTACTGCATACTGTTGACATCCCCTTCCAGTCACTACAAACTTCAAAAGGTGAGGCCTTACACTGCTTCTTTTGTCATTATATAAAACTTAATTGAACAAATGGCAGATACACTTCAACCTGCTCCTCTGCTTTGTTGCCTCACTCACTACTGGGGCTTAGTAATGGAGATTTATAGCTCCTAGTTTAAATGAAACCTAGTGTTAAAGTAGTACTTAAGTCTGGGTGTTTTTAAAACACCAAGAACTTTTCCAAACCCCCCCCTCTCCCCTTACTTACCTGCAGCCGCTTGTACCCTCTACTGCGACCGGGAAGATACTTGGAGTTCCCCCAACTTCATGGTTGTGGGGGGAGGAAATTGAGGGCAGAGGAGCCATAGGCTCCTTTAGCCATCAGTCAAACTGTGAATGTGAGGGTGGGGGCATGGATGTCCATGTGTGTCTATGGACATATACAGCTAGATGTGAGCACGGCCCTGACCGTGCACGCACGGGTGCCTCCACAGCAGCCGGCTAGCTGATGAAGGGGAGGTGGGCCTGGTGATTTGGATACCACTGGAGTATGAGAAAATTAAAAAAATGTAAGCAATGAAAACAAAAAAATAAAGTAAGTCTGGCTGCACTAAGTAGAAATAGTTAAAAAAAGTCACTTTAATTACTTTTTGTTGGCTTCACTGCAACAATTTGCTCCTGTCAAGTTCTCTGGCTAAAGAATGGTAGGACAGGTAGTAGTCTGGAAGTGGGATTCTGGATAACATTCACCACCTACTATAATGGTCTGTAAATGTGATCAGAGATGGGGAGCTGTTGGTGGGTAAATTGTTCCGTCTCACTAGGCCTTCTGCACAAAGTGAAATTCCAAAAAGATGTCACCAGCACTCCAAAGGTAGATTCAATAAGTTTTAATGACAACGGTCATTCAAAATCACAAGTACTTTCGGGGCCACGTTGGGTCCCCGTCATCAGGCTCAGATGGTTGGTTACACGGTGCCATTGTGGTCGCTACAAGCACCCTATTACAGACATTATCTCCCAGGAGATACGGTAAGGAGTGCAGTAAGACACACCATTTTTTTTCTGCACAAAGTGGTCACACATTTCCCTTCTGTCCTGCATGGGCTGGACTGATTGATCAAATGGAAATGGTTTAAAATACAAATCCTTGGAATTTACAGGTAATATATTTCAAGACATAAATGGGCAAACAAACATAAATATACCTGTTCTGGGTGAGCTACAGATAAGCCTGAATTAGGTAGTTCAGCAAGAGAGAGAAATAGTGGTCTTTTCTGCTAAGAACTCGTTGGAATAGCTGATATTGACCAACAGTATAAAATAATTTAAATCTAGATTAGATGTTTGTTGTAGTAGAAAGGACAGCTCCAACTATAGTTTGAAAGATTCATTTGTGGAATCTTCCAGGGAATTAGTCTAAATGTCATTGACAGGGTCAGGAAGGATTCTGTTTTTCTCCTGTCCTATGCAGCTACATTGTTAGCTTCTCACTGGAATTAGTTTTTATTTCTTCCTCTGGATAAGTGCTATTAGATTAGGTTGGATTTGATGGACCTTTGTATTTTCTCTGTCTTAAAGCAGAAGTTAAATCTTAAAAAAGGGGAGATTTTAGCCAAAGTGTGCTAGTATGTTAGCACATTATAGCAGACCTTCCTGCCAAAGCAGTCCGTTCCAGCGCCACAATGTCAGTGTTCTCCTTCCTTGCCGCACTCCCATCTTTCTACTGATTTTCTTCCAAGTTTGAAGAGTTCAGCTGCTTGATTGGCTGGGCCCAGGTTACCCAATTCCCGCAAATGCACATAGGAGTTACTTTGTCCTGGCAAGAAATTGTTACAATACTGTACACTGAGCTGTGTATATGTGGCTCAGTTTACACAAGCAGAAAAAAAAAGGGCGTACGGCACGAAGAAACATCTTTGGCAGTTCACAGTCACAGCTGTCATAAAAAACTGCCTGTCCTCACTTTTACAGAGGCTTCCCTTCTGTTTTTAAGAAAACCTGTACTCCATTTTATACCCAAGTAAAACTTTCCATTCCTTGCATGTGTAGAAATAGTTACCCTCTGATAAAACATGTCATGCAGTTTGCTTTCTTTGCTGGAAATGTTTACATTCTGCGACCAAACTCTTCCTCCCGATGTCTGCGTGTGTGCGCAGTAGAGGCCCACAGACTTCTATGAGGTCATCTCTTTTGACGGCATCCTCATAAAGCTGAAGCGTTTTAATTTTTTGTTTTTGTTTTACAATTGGATCATTATATATACTTCCAACTACCAGGTGACATTTTTAAAAATCTTTTTAGTGTTACCCATATTTTTCACATTTGCAAGCAGCAAATAGGTTAATCGTCCCTTTATTTTTTTGGCAATTAAATTAAGGTTTTACTATCTTCTTCTGTGCTTCATGCTTTCATAATTTAGCATTCTGCTACTGCACTGTCTTTCCACACTTGCAGTACAAGGCATCAAGCTAATTACTTGAGCAGCTTGCTTTTAATGT